CCAAGCATATTCGCTAGTGGGAAAGGAGAAAATGATAATGGTGAATCTTTAAGATCTTGAAGTATATGAATTTGATACTGTTGCTGTGGCTGCCGTTGCGGTAACATTTGCTGAGGACGAGAACGTGTATAACATTTTCAAATGATCAGTCCAAATTTGATTAAGACACAGATATTTACGGGTTACTTGTTGTGGATTAAGAGCCGGCGGCCCACTTTTTCTCATCTGACTTCTTAGCTGTGTCCTATGGAAATCGGATATTTGAAGTGTCAGCTCAAACTTTTAGATGACAAATATTCTTATACGAACAGTTTTTAGAGCACCTGGAATTATCTGTGAGAAAAAAGGACTAGTCTTATCAATCAAGTTTTCACAGAGATAGTTGACTACAAACAGCGAATAAATAATAAAAATCGTTTCAAAGGTAAACGGGCAAAAAAAATCGTTCTCAAGTGACATTGATCATCGTGCATCAAAATTTCATAACACAAAATTAAGTACATTATTAAACAAAAACGTTGATCATTCAAATGTACAAAGATGTTTTTGAGACAATTTATTTCTATGCATTATCAATCGATGCTGTGATTGGGAAAAAAATATATCAGATATGACCACATTCGGTTGATTATTAGTAGATCAGTGTTGCTGGTATAAATACAGTATTTAGATAAAGTTTCAAACGTTAGAAGACTTTTGACATGTTTGCATATTGTTTCTAAAATTGCTTCTTCATAACGCGATAGATAGCATACAATTTTTTGATGCAAAAAAATGCAAGATAGCAAAAACTTTAGACAAAACGTATTTTAACGTAGAAAATAACTTTACACTTGAAAATGGAAAAAGACGTTTTGTGAAGATCTTGATTTTTTATGAGGTTTTCAGAAAACTAAGTCAAAGATTACTAACTGTTTTTAGTTTTTAATAATGGCAGTGTGTACAATACGTAAAATATTATTGATACCTAGATTTTTATAAAGAGTACATGTCCCATGTACGTATGAAAAAGATAGTTCACATTAGCCTAGTAGCATTTCTTTTATAACTGAAACTTAGTAAACATGTTTTCAACTTCCATCAGATTGTTGAGTTCAACGAAATATTTTTCTATCAAAAATCGATAATGTTCTTTTGTTTTATTTCTTTTTGAAAAAGCAAATATTCGTGCTGATGACAATTACATTTTATGCAAAGTTTTTTTAAACTTGGAAACAGAGCAACATTGCATGGTTTTTGTTTTGGATTGATTTGACTCTCTTGTTAAACAAAAAACTAATTATTTTTGAGCAACAGGTGATTTTAAAAACAGCATGTAATAACCTATATTTTGTCAAAACTTGTCACTTCGAACGTTTTTTATGAGAAAAAAATAAAGAAAATATTTTTTTATCATGTCTCGTTTAACATCGTTCACAAATCGTAATACACTATTAGATAACGAAGAGCGTCGAACGATTGTTCGAAACGATGTACGAGAGATTCATCATGAAACTGTTCATTATAGAGAAGCAGGCAATGTTTATTTGCGTGAAACAGGACGTTGTCCACGTTTTCGATTTCCTTGGTGGCTCTGGTTATTACTTGCTCTTGGTCTATTAGCATTACTTGGTCTCACACTTGGTCTTGGTCTGGGATTAGGTTTGAAACAAACAGCACCTTTACAACGTTGTACGCGAAATAATTGTGCAGCCAATTCGCAATGTATTAATAATCGATGCGAATGTGATACGGGGTATTATTTTGATTATGGAACACAAGCATGTACACTATATAGACAAATTGGAATGAGTTGTACAACTTCAGATACAAGTCAACAATGTATTACAAATGCATATTGTAGTACAAATGGAGTTTGTATATGTTCCTCCGGTTATTATCTAGATCTTGTAAGTATTTCTTGGATAAACTGCAGATTTGAATTTGAAACGTTTTTCTATTATTAGAGTAGTGGTAACTGCTTAGCATTATTGCCTCGATATACTCCTTGTGCAAATGATGATCAATGTCAAACCCCATTTGTTTGTAAAATTTTTCTTTGTGACTGTAATCAAACATCGTGGTATGACAGTGGTACAAACACATGCAAAAGATTAGGTTTACAAAATGATCCCTGTTCGTTTACGTCTCAATGTATAAGTACAGCCAATTGTTCACTAGTAACATGTCAATGCCCATCAGATCATTATTTTGATGATCAATCCGATGAGTGCATTACAAAACAATTTATCGGTCGAACATGCACATACAGTTATCAATGTATAAGCCTAGCAAATTGTACAAGTGTTTCACCATTTTCCCAGCAATGTGAGTGTATATCATCGTATTATTATAATACAACAAATGGACAATGTGTACCTCAATTGTCCTACGGAACAACATGTCTATCAACTTATGCGTGTTTAAATAATTTAATATGTCTTGCTGGTTCACCGACTAATTTCACTTGCGAATGTTTATCGAATCAATATTATCTAAGTTCGAACAGTACATGTATTTCGATTGGAACATATAATGATTCATGTAACTCTCTACCTTTGGGCAGGCCTTGTAATACCCGTGTGGGTTTAAACTGTTCATTGTCATCATCGACCTGTCAATGTAGCACTACCGATTATTGGAACACAAACTCATCAATGTGTACAGCACTATTGTTTCCTGGTCAAAATTGTTCAGCACTAACTCAATGTATTAATGCATCTTATTGCTCCTCTCTAACATCGATATGTACTTGTAACACAGGCTATTATTATAATTCATTATCACTGGGAATGTGTGTTCCCACTCAAGCTTATGGAACATCCTGTACAAGCAATTATCAATGTAATACTGGAATAATTTGTTACAATGGTTTGTGCGGGTGTAATACAACTGTAAACTATTATAATGGTAGTCAATGTACTTCATTAGTAACAATTAATCAATATTGTCTATCATCAGTATATGGCCCGGTCTGTGATCAAGTCAATAGTGCACTAATATGTTACGCAAATAATACGTGTGGATGTCAAACGGGTTATTACTGGAGTGGTACAAAATGTTTGATTCTAATACCGGTCGGTTATCCATGTACGAGTGATACACAATGTATAGCAAATTCGTCTTGTTCATCATTGACATGCACATGTCTAAGTACATATTATTACAATACGGCAACAGCCACTTGTTCATTACTACTTGCATACGCACAAAGTAAGTGGTCTGCGAACAGTTTGATCACACTAAGATATTTCAAATTCTGAGTTGTTATGAAAGAAGAAATGTTAACAATTTTTCAGAATTAAGGTTTATTTGTTATTTCAAAGCTTTCAAAAAATCTGATTGATTGTATTAAAGTGTAGCGCAAAAGTGTCTAGAATGATTTATTCTTTAGGTTGTTCATCGACCACTCAATGTCAGACAGGCATGATATGCACAGCTATAAACTCAACATTGTCTGAATGTTTATGTTCAAGTACTATGTATTTTTCGGCTTCAAGTTGTGTGTCAAAAGTAACATATTCTCAAACATGTAGTGTTTTAATTCAATGTGATGATACGTTGGGTTTGGTTTGTGTTTCTTCCACATGTACCTGTGCGAGTGGCTATTATTGGAGAACCCTTTCTAATGGTACACAAGTTTGCAGCGTCTTACGAACATTAGGTGAATCGTGTTCAATCACATCCGACTGTGTGTCGCCTGCTATTTGTTCATCGAGTATTTGTGAGTGCGATACGTCAGCTTACTATCTCAATCAAACAACGGTTACTTGTAGTTTATTAAAGGCAAATTTTGTCGCTTGTACTTATAATTTTGAATGTCTCAGTCAAAATTGCAGCACGAGTATGTGTTCCGATATCGCAGCGCCGGTTAAAAGTAATGTAACTCTAGCTGTCTCATCAACGGCAGTGCGAACCTTTGTACAATCATATTACTTTCGAAAAACACTTATACTTCTTTTTCTACTATTTGTTTACATTGCCTTTGATGGTCATTTTTGATTAGTAAATTCATACTCAATCAATTCATTATTCTCTTTACCAGAAGTCTAGAGACTACAAATTAAAATGTTCAACTGATTGCTTCTCATGAAACTATCCATATATTCTATGATTCTCAGCTGAGCTAGTTTCCACTAAAACTTGAGCGAATAACGGTATAGTAGACGTACATTACAAAACGGCAGAACCTCATCAGATGCAATCACCCAATAAACTAACGGTTCACGCTAAGTACACCGGAAGTCAGTTTTCTTTTAACGATATATTAGATATAACCACACTACTTTGAAACTTTTTCTTTGTTATACAGTGAACAAGTGCTTTTCTTTTGAGCATAACTCTCTATGTACTATCATAACAGAGTTACAAATGAATAATTACATGAATATTTTAATTATTCACTAAGTTCTATGATGATTTCGCTGTAGACGCAAGTTATACGCATTAAGTTTTGAAACTTCGTAACATGAATTGGCTTTGTATAGTAACAAGTACAACGTTAAATGAGATCATACCCTAGACAAAATCCTATGCGCTTCTTATTTGTTTTCTGCCAGGATCCTATAGGATCCTAAAAATTTAAGATTCTATTATGATCGGTGTAGGATCCTAATAAATTCCTAGCAGGATCTGAGATGTTAGGCTCCTACCAGGAGTCTGGAGCAGATCCTAACATTTAGGATCCTGCCAGGAAATTATTAGGATCCTACGCCGATCATAACAGGATCCTGGTAGGAAACAGATACGAAGTGCATAGGATTTTGTTTATGGATAAAAATAGTTAATCTCAGGTTGAAGTAATAAATGTATACGCGCCATTTTTAAATGTGCTTTAGAGTTACAAAGAAATATTTGGTAACTTTTGGTCAAATAATGGGAACGGATGGAGAAATTTCACGAGAGACAGGAACATATAAGCAATCCTATGAAATTCCTGTTCAAGAATTATCTTTTCCTACTAAAATCCTAAATAATTCCTGCTACATTATGATTCAGTCATAGCATTCTTGTTAGGATCCTGTCAGGATCCTAATAGAATCCTAGCAAATCCTACGACTTTCCGGTATACCTGATTTCTGTAGGATTCTGTAAGATTTTCCTAGGATCCTACCGAAAAGCCAGCTAAATCCTGGCAGGATCCTGCCCGGATTTCTCCAGGATCCTGTCAAGAAATGTATAGGTTTCTTACTAGGGTATAATCTCAATCAAGTGTGGTACGTTACGCGATAGAGATCTGCACATAACCCTGGCGTATATCAGAAAAAACAAAATATATAGACAAAAGTTTAAGACGAGAGA